TGCTATATAATTGAGAGTGTACTGCAACTCCTCATAGTGTATCAATGTACTCCAGAAATAAATCTTTAAAGAAAATTTTAGCTTCACAGCTCTGTGATATGTATCCTGATTTCCTGAACTGATTTTATTATCCCTTGTATAAAGCTTGCTAGAATTAATGAAAGTTGGAAATAAAGATATTTTTGTCTTCTGTACAGTTAACTGTTTCTAGTTGGTTGTGTCCATTTCTAAAATGCCTTCAGTGTGGATGTACTTTCACTCTAAATCCCTGTGAACAGATAAGAGATTGACCTAATTTATTTTGCATTAAAAGTTGTTTTCCACAAAGTATGCTTGGTACTTTTTGGAACGATTAACCTTAGCTGTACCTCAGTTCACAACTGAGCAAGTCTTGGGTGAGTTCTCCAGCCACACCACTGCAGCGGCTCTACAGCAATCCATATTCTTAGACCAGATAGGGGAAAAAAAGGAGGGGCGGGAAATTGGTTATTCTTGTTAACTTCTTACATAGCAAGAGCAGTAGACTGTTCACCGACTCTATCTAAACCTTTAAATTGAAGGGTAAATACTCTGTTACTTGAAATTAGTGAACTACAGCAACTGAGTACAAGTGGCAGTGCTGACCGGGTCCTGATGACAGTGTGACGGTGTTCACTGCTCTGTCAGTGCGCTTGGTGGGCCGCACAGCACACCGGGTCTGGCCTTCGCAGCAGGAAGTTTTGAATGTTGTCTTGCTCCCATACAATTTAAATTGGCTAACAAGGACATCTTTTGCTTTCCTTGCTGCTGACTGCATGGGAAGGCTGTTTTGATGGATTGGTGACTCATGTGCTCGCTGGAGTTTTAGGTGTTTTTTTTTCTACCGACTCACACAGGGAAATTCTTTTCTGTGTGCATATCTGATAAACCTTGTCATCCTGTTCTTTTCCCTTTCTTCTCTGTTTTTCCCTCCCAAACTGAAGATATAAAGATCTAAGTCTGTCAAGGATGGGATCCTTCTGTACTTCAAATTCCTTTCTTTTTGCTCACAAGAACAGGACAGGCATATAGAAGGAGGCGTTCTGGGGAGTGTCTGAACGCAACCCAGCTGATGGGTCTAATTTTAGTTTTTGAATGGTGACACCAAACTTTTCTATAGATATAAATAAAAGTTGTGTATTTTGGTGCATGTGTTTTTATTTTTTTTTTTCTTTCTCTTCCAGATCTATCTAGCTAAGTTTAAAAGCTTTTCCTGGTGAGACTTTTAGTTTCAGAATGTATCACTGAAAAATAATTTCAGGTGGGTACTAGAGGACAGATCAAAGTCTGCTTGTTAACAAATGTATCCAAAGTAATGAGAATGTAATAGATGTGAGGATCAGAATTGCTTCTTTTGGTTTCTAGTCAATCTCACGAAGTATTTTGGGTTGTAATCCTGTTAGGAGTATGAGCATCTTGTTCACAGGTGTTAGGTTAAATGTTGCAGATCAAATCTGGTTTTGAAGTTCTGATCCCAACTGGAATTACTGTATCTTTCTATGGTGATTTTTGGTGGCAGTAGTATTAGAATAACTCTTAAATTTGTAGATAATTTCAGTGCACTTTTGTAGCTGTAATTAATTATTTTCTTAATGTAGAAACTCTACTCTGTTAATACAATTTTGCAGTTGCTTCTGTAAATGGATGCATATTTTGTGTGGCCTCTTGCATTGTGTTACCAGTGACTTTTCTGCCTCTGATGTGATGGATTTGTATTTATGTTGGTACATAAAACAACAGTTACGCTGCTTAAAGTGCCATAACTCACAGCTTCAGCTGAAATGGTTGAATTTTTTGTGATGACAAAAATTCAGAAAATTCTATTAAGAGGAAATTGTGTGTGTTAGCTTTGGGAGGGTTTGTTTTGAGTTTACTGCTAATATGTTCCACTAGTGAAATGAGCTGGGAGAGATCTGTGATAGTCTTTTTTTTTAATTAATTAATGTTGTTTTGCTAATTCTATTGTTTCCCTTAAAGTTAACTAGGAACACGGTTTTGACAAAACGGGTATGTCAGATGAGGGAGAGATTTCTGAGAACTACTGTGGTGTTAGGAACCAAAAATGTTTCCATAAATACTGATCAGTTACAATGGGAAATTTGTAAAAGGTGGTTTTGGTCAAATAGCACAACTGTGCTTGCACTCACTTAGGAAGAACTTCAGATCTCACATCCTAGGACTGTTTCTTATCCTGGTGGGAGAAGTTTGAAATCATGGGAAAAAAAATTTTGAGACACAAACTAGTGGCTTCCCAGTTCTCTTCTTAAGTTCATTTTTTTGGCTGTGTACAACAGTGACCTTTTTTTTTCTAATGTCTGAGCATCCAGCAACTCTTGTCATCATTTATCTAAAGGTTTTAGAGGTTTAAACTTGTGCTGTGTCTTTTATTTGTTTTTACACCAATCAAAATAATGTATTGTGAGAGCTCTTTACAGTATAATGAGCTTAGAGCAGTGGACTTTGTTGCTTGCCTGCATTACATTCTGTTAGAAATTGGCAGCAATTACAACTGAGGCTTTATTTAACACATCCGCATTTCTAGTGGAGTTAATTTTAAAGAGTTTCTTATTAGTATTGGATGCCTGGTCAGTCAGTGACCGAATATGCTGTGGAGTTGCAGTGGCTGCTTCTCATGGCCTACTCATTGTCACAGAACATGGGTTTCAGTTTGGTTTGCTTTTGTTTTATCAGGGTTTGAAATGTAGATTGCTGGCTTAGATAATAGAATTGCTCCAGTTTTCAGTTGTCTTAGATTCTCCAGTATGTGTGCATGAATTTGGGAGGCAAATTTTTTCGGCTTAATTTTGGTGTGCTAAACCTCAGTTAACCTTCAGTATCAGGTGAGGTCCGTGGAATTTTGCATTTGGAGTAAATAAGGGAAAGCTCAAGTGAGAGTTTCTTTCTTGTTGTCCCTGTTTGGTTGTTGCTGATGATGGGTAGAGGTTTGACAGTTATGAGAATGTCAACACCAGGTGCTTGTTGTCACTTCGCAGATATTTTTATGACAGAATGAAAACCTGTAAGTCAGTTCCCACCCACCCCTAAGCCCTGATCTGATTGGAAAAGTAACCCAGCAAGAAACAAGAAGGCAGCTTAATTTCAAAGTTTTAATAAATTTTGCGACCTTGGCAAAACCAGAGTGTTGTTTTTTTTTTTTTTAAATCCCAGGACATTTAAGTGTTTTGGTTGGAGTTATTTAAACTGTGTGCTGAGCATAGGCTTGTATTTCAGTATGCAGCCGGGTGAAACTCCTTGTACACAATCTGAGTAGCTCCCAAGTTTTGTTTGTGTGATACCATATGTTTAAACACCATTTTTTATTCAAACTGATTGTTGAATGGCAGTATTCTCTAATGGCTGCTTGGGCAGTGGTTTTCCTTGTTCATTTTAAGTATTTATATCTTCTAGCTGACCTTTTAATTGGTTTTGGGAGGCATTGTGAAATGCAGGTACTGTGGAGGATGTTGATGTAGTGGGGAGGCCATGTCCTGTGTGAGGGGAAGGATGTCCTGTCTGGGGTTTGTAGAACTGTTGCAAGGGCTTTGCAAAAAGTGCCTGTATTTACATAACTTCAAAAGTTAGGCTGTGGGCTGGATGATGACAAGCAGCAGCCCTGTAACCTGTGGTTTACTGAGCCTCAGTTTCAATCTGCCCTGACTTTTTGAGCTGAGTTATTGTTGTGTCATGGTGCCTTGACAGGCGTCAAAATAAATAGAGGCCTTTAAAACTTTATTTTAAAAGTGCAGTTCCAAGCGTGGGTTTTTCTGCTTCTTTAGTCAGGATGCAGTTCTTTCCAGTTGTCCCCCTAATAATTTGGTTTGGGGCCTTTTCCTAAATATGACCTTATCTGGAGACTGATCGTGGTGCAGGTGATTGCTTTTACCCATTTGAATGGCTGCTTGTGGATAAAAACTTGCTGGATCACCCCTAGTTTGGCCTTGAATATTACAACTGCACTTCTCTAATACAGTGTTTGTAACTGGGGGCTAACAAACACGGCCTGAGGTGGATGCTCTTCCCAGGGTGGGCAGCTGGTAAAATGAGCACATTTCATTTAGGAGCAACTGTCGGCCTTGGCTAAGGCAGTGCTCTGACAGGATGTGGAAACTGATCCTTTCATTCTTTAAAATGGTCGTGTTGGTGACTAGATCTCTTTTGAGATGCTGTTGTGAACCAGCATTTTTCTCCTGTTTAACAAAAAAAAACCAAAACCACCACCACCAACAAAAAAAACACACACAAAAAAACCCCCAAACAAACACAACAAAGAAAAGCATCTTACATCATCTGTCTTGAAATGAATATTACTTTGAAATGAGTAGAATAGTTGGATTATTGCTCCTAATCTTCAAAAACCACAGTCCTCAAATTCCATAAATACATAAATTCGTAGATGTTAATGCATGCCATATTTTTTTTTCCAAATGTTAGAATTGGAAAATTATTTCATTTGTATTTAGGAGGTGAAGCTGAAATCTCTGAAGAACTATTTTGGTTGTTGGTTATTTTATTTGAGAGGCATAGAAACTGTTAAGCCAAGTGTCTGAATTCTGTTGGTATTTACTTCCTAAAGATTATCAGGTATTTGCTTTCTGAAGCTTCTAGTGTTAATGTTTATGTAGTACCTAGTGTGCTGGGGTCTTGGGTACTACAGTAATGGAAAATAAGAATGAAGGTTTATTTAGTTCACACCTTTCGACCATTTTTATATTGCATCCGCCCAACCCCCCCTTTCCCCATGTTACAGTATCACTGTGGAAAAATTGCTAGCAAGTTGATCTTTATATAGCCAAAATAGAGGCCGTCCTGTCTGGATTTGAATTTAACTCAGTTGATTCATTCAGTCATTTGTCGCCACACAGGAAGCCCCATTCATATGATCACAAAGCCTAATAGCTGTTTGTACAGTGAGATTGATCTGATTACTCTTCTCTGTCTTGTGCTATTTACAGTCTGCTGCCAGTTCACAGAAAGGGGAGAGAATGGCTGCGAAGGAGAAGTTGGAGGCAGTGTTAAATGTGGCCCTGAGGGTCCCAAGCATCATGCTCTTGGATGTCTTGTACAGATGGGATGTCAGCTCATTCTTCCAGCAGATCCAAAGAAGTAGCCTGCACAACAACCCTCTCTTCCAGTACAAGTACTTGGCCCTTAACATGCATTATGTGGGTAAGTGTACGCGTATTCAAGTAACCCACTACTGTAGTAGATACCATTTTGCTTGCTACAAAAATTTGACAAATTGGGTGATCGCATTATTGATTACAAGACATAGAACAATAATATATTCATTGCACTCCTGCTTACAGAACTGTTTGTTAGCAGTAAAGAAATCCTGTTTAGGGTCTTCTACTGAACTTTGTTATTTAGTCTTGTAAATAGAGTAAATCTGGTGCTTAGAAGCACAATTGATGCCCTGAAAGAATAACACAGTGACTTTGGCCTGTGTGTGACTGATGAGCTGTGAAGTGTTGCACAGACAACAAATACTGTAACTTACATTATTGGCTTTAAACAACAGACTAGGGAAGAGATTGCCTCCTTTGGACTGACCACTGCACCAGGTTACCTCTCACTGCTCCATGGATATGGCTCTTTAGTTTACAACCTTATAAATACTGTGAGTGGATTAGAGCAGGTAACAAGTCCTTGTGTTGCAGATAAATGGACAAAATTACTAACACAGCTCAGGGAGCTGAGGTTTGAACTCTGGCCTGCAAGTCTGGCATGGTAGATGTCTGTTTTTAGGAGATGAAAGGATTGATGTTCTGGGACCTGCTCCCCAGGTGGGTATGTGATTCATCTGGTGACTGCACATGGGGCTAATTAGGGATTGAATCCAGGCTGTTGATAGCCAGTGAGGATCTGCCCGAGTAGTGCCTAGCTCAGAGAGAAATGGCTAGTGTATAATTTTCCCACTCTGAAGTGTTTCTTCCTTGTAGATGGCTTTGGAGGATAAAGATGTACTTCAATCAGCTAAATGAAACACCCTCTAGTTAAGTAGTTAGAGGACTCTGATTGATTTTTTTTTTTTTTTTTTTAAGTAGCATGCCCAGGTTTTTAATCCTTACTGCCTATGTCTTGGCGTATGTGTTTTAAAATCTAATGTCCATTTTCTGGAAATTATTTACTGCCATTAAACCCACACGTGGCTTTCTTTGTTATGGCTCCAATATACTCTGTTTCATATGTTTCTGGGAGAGTGTCTGAGTCTGCATGTGACTCAGGACTGTGGTGGCATGTAGCTACAGCTGGCTTTCCTCATGCCCTTGTAGGCACACAGGTACCTCTGGGGAATGAGTTTATCAGATCAGATTCGAATGCAGAACTAAGAGTTGTGCAGTTGGCTATCAAGATGTCAGGAGGTAATTTCTATCGGTGACATAGCCCCTCTTTATAGTTGTTTGATAATGTACTTAAGCAAGGACAAGGTTGAGATACACCAATTAGAAGTGCTGCAGTGAGGGTAGTTATTCTTACTGAAGAATTTCTCACCTGGTTGCTGTTTTAGTACCAACTCAGTGGATTCTGACTTTGCACTCCTCATACAAGTGGGGCTTTTGTGCTGGTGCACAATCACTCAGCAGTTCTTTTTACTTTTTTCTTTTACAATATTGAGTGTACTTTCACTGTTCCAACTGGTAGTTGCAGAATAAGAAGGGCTTCTGAATTGTCAAACAAGTTATTTTAATTTTCAGACATTTTTCAGTGACAAAACTTTGCTAGTACTTTTCAAATAAAGCTGATGTGCTTCACTTCCTTTGTTACTGGTGTGTTGTGTTTTTTTTTTTTTTTTTTTTAGCTATGTCAGTGTGAGGTTGGGCTAAACCAATTTGCATATCTCCTTGAGATTTTATATAGATTCAGTTGCATCAATTTACAGTATAACCTTAATTAAGATGATGTATCAAAATATATAAATCGGATTTGTGAGGAAAACAAAGTATTTTCCACCAGTTTGGGAAATTAAGCTTCTTTCTGTATATGTTGGGGGAAGTTAACTGTCAGTGTGTAATTTAAATAACTTACTCTGGATGTGTTTCAACATGCTAATCTGGTTTATTTGGGAAAAAAAAAACCTCTGTTCATATTTGCAGTTAGGAAACATAATACCAGCAAATGCTGTGGCAACTTTTCAATGTCAAACAATTGCTGAACTTCTTCTATAGGTAGGATAAGATGCCATATCTTAGGAGTGCTTCTAGCAGCTTAGGAAATTGCGTGCATCTATCTTGGGTGGATGCTCAAGGAACGATTAGGTTAGAGAGCCATAAAAATAAATAACCTACCAATCTAGATGTTGTGAACCTTTTCTCAGAACTAAAGATACAAAGTTGGATATTTGCTCAGAACTGGGGGTTATCAGGAATATATTTTCTGTTTAAATGCACTTGATTTCTTTGATCCAGTTGACTTAAAATTTGAAAAGCCAGTTGTTTCTGATCAAGTGAAGTGATGTAGTTAGTGTGATTCAAATTCCAGTTATATGGGAGTATAATAAAAGCCTCTAGGATGCAATTTGTCCTTCAATATGGCTTTTCCCTTTCATATCTTTTCATGAAACAGCCTTTATCTGCTGTACTGAAGGAAAACATTCAGTCCTGATAACCACTCAACCGCAAGTTCAATTGCATGAAATTTGACTAGATATGCATAAAGCAATGCAAACAGCAGAGATAAATTTCTTGTAAGAATTAGCAAAGGTAAATGGCTTAGTTTCATGCAGGAAAATTTTCAAATAATTCTGTTTATGAACTTTTATCTGTCAAATAGTGCGGTGGTCACTGTTCTGGCAGGCGTGAAAGGCTTGGGGGTGGCCTGCGGGCCACACTAAAGTGTCTTCAACAGGCACTTGAGCTATTGCCTCTAAAGTTTGAGGTAGGTCGTTTTATTTCATAATACTGTTTTTCTGCATATGCATTACTGCCTAGAATCACCATTAAAACTACTTTTCACTTCTGAAAACTTTCCTAGGTTTGTCAAGTGTGCTTGAAAAGATAAACATTGAACTTACTTAAGCAACAATTCGGGAATGTCTGTGGCTGAAAAATGCTTGTTCTGTGTGGGTGGAAATTCATACCTGGTTGTCACAGGGTCACCACAAGCTTAAAACTTGATTGATCACACTCGGTATCTTTCTGGAAGTACTTTTGGTACATCTTACAGAACATTTGCAAGATAATTTATTGAAAACCTAATTTAACATTGCTAGAGATGCTTGGGATGAAAAGGAGTTAACCTGTGTACTTGGTTTTTATTTTTGGTTTGGTGTATATATTGGACATCTGTCAAAACAGGGAAGAGTTGGAAAAAATGGAGTTGCAACCAAAATTCAGGTGCATGTACCAGTGATAACCAGAAATCCTATAAAAAAATAGAAAAAATCTTTTGCCCTCTGAAAGGAATCACATGGAAGGCTTGGTTCAGTAGTCTGGCTCTTTCGTGCCATCTGTTTAAATACAGTAATGTGTTTTTTTTTTCTTCTAAGAGTATTGAAAAATCCTGAATTGTAACCCTTATTTCCAAACACGTCCTGTGAGTGAAAGTACCTTCTGCATTTCTTCTGGATTGTTTAGGAGTATCTTGTCAATGAGCGCTACTGTCCCAGGACTC